TAGGAGATTAGGTTTAGCCATAGCGAGAGGCTTGAGCAGGAGGGAATTGGCCAAAAACAGAAAGGAGTTCACTATAGAATGTTGGAAACATTTAGGCAAGAGAAGAGAGGTGCACCACCAAACATGAAGCAAGATATCTTACGCTCTATAGAAAAGGAGACCACGCTGCTCCATACTTGTTATAACACGCCCGATACGCCGTCAAGGTTACCAACACTGCCCTCGAGCAAACGCTCCAATCGCGATAGCCCCTGCATTACTGCTATCCTTTACGGGGGCTCGACGCTTTGTGACGTCAACTCGACCATCCGCATCCGCACAACGTCACCGTGTTGTGTGATGCTGCATTCTAGAAAGAGATGCCAGTCAAACGCGCCCTTCCAGCTTCCGCCTACTCGCAAATGTCCAATTTGCGCCTACCTGGCAGCAAGTTCCATCGACTAGCCGCCAAAAAAAACGAAATACTTAGCGCCGCGGGTGACGGAAGATTAGCGTTTGGGGAAGACTTTCGCAAAAGAAGGAACGACGATGAGACAAATGCGACATCCGTTCACGCAGGGAAAGAAAATGCTTGGAGAAGTGGGGTATCCATCCCCATGCCTCTCGCATGCTAAGCGCTCTACCATCTGAGCTACATCCCCGATACTACAATATAGTCGTTTGCAATCCTGACTATAAAACAAAATGGTCTTCCTCAAAGTCTCTCATAAAAAATATCTACAAGAAGCAGCTGCTTTTGGAGACTGCCAACCTGCACAGGCAAGAGAGAAAGAGTAGCACTTGCATTTTGGACTACAAATCTGTAATGTACATGCACATAGCTCCGACTCCCAGCTCACACTACAGCATACCTTGGCGAGCATGGAGGTCACATCTCCCAACACAGCAGGACTAGGAGGTGCGCCCCTGCGTCTTCACGCCTGCGACCGGAGAGCCTCAAGAGCACTAATCAGCTCGTCTTGAAAAAGACGAAGGACAGGGACATGGGAGAGGGGGGATTTGAGTGGCCTTGATACGCAATGTCTGTAAGGAGGAGGATGAGGGGGCTCCAGGGCCTTTGATGCTGCAGGGTGTTATTGAGAATTCTCAAAAACGCCTCCAAGGAGGAAGATGAGGGCGCTCCAGGACCTTCCTCGGTTCGTCCTGCAAGTCTGCAAGAGACATGAGAGAGAGGAGGAATTGCCGAAGCCTCCTATTACTGTCAGAATGTTATAATTGTCTAGCCTGCAGTGGGGTACTCTATAGCGAGTACAACCCAATTAGGGTTTCCTATATGTATGCCAACTGCTGCTAGTGCAACTCTCTCTTTTTCATTCCTCATTTTTCACATGCTATCAGAGCATCTACGCTCCTGGCCCGTGGGCCCACCCAACTGCTTCCGCTGCTACTCTGTGCTCCGTGGCGTGCCCCTCGCGCGACCCTTAGCGACCCCGTCGCCACCCCTTGCGGCCCCGTCGCTGCCCTTCTCGGCCCCTCGCAGCCCCTTCGCGGCCCCGTCGCCGCCCCTTCGCGGCCCCGTCGCCGCCCCTACCCGGCTCGTCGCCGCCCTTCCAGGCCCCTCGCGGCCCCTTCGCGGCCCCGTCGCCGCCCCTATCGGCCCCGTCGCCGCCTCCAGCGGCCCCGTCGCCGCCTCCAGCGGCCCCGTCGCCGCCCCTTGCGGCCCCGTCGCCGCCCCTAACGGCCTCGTCGCCGACCTTTCAGGCCCCGTCGCCGCCTCCAGCGGCCCCGTCGCCGCCCCTTGCGGCCCCGTCGCCGCCCCTTTCGGCCCTGCCTCGACCCTGCCCCGGCCCCGCCCCGGCCATGCTCCGTCGCCTGTCGCGGCGCACCGGGGGCACGTGCACCGCCCACCCCTCTTTTTCCCGTCGCCTGTCGCGGCTCCCTGGGGGGCCGCGACCTGTGGGGGGGGGGCGAGCGTCGCCCCTTCTGCCGCCCTGCTTTGGCGCCCTGGGAGGCCGCGCGTCGGCCCCCCTTTCCCCCCCCCCCTCCGTAACCTCCCTACCCGCCATCCCGCCCTGCCCTGTGTTAGGGTTTGGGGGTGGCGGGTGTGTGGTCTCCCCTGCTCCTCCTCCTCCTCTGTCTCCCACTACTGCAGCTGCCGTTGAGGGGGGTGGGTGTGTGGGAGTCGACGGAGTGGTGCTAGGGGGTGGGGTGTGAGTGAACCTAGGGTGCAGCAGGGGGTGTGTGAAAGGGGGGTGCTGTGGGAGTAGAACTAGGGTTTGAGCAGGGGGTGTGTGTCGAGAGGTGTGGGGCAGTTGGAGGAGGTTGTGTGAAGGTAGCTGTCGTGTCGCCTGCAGCGCCTGTAGTCCGCCGCCCTTGCTTCGGTAGCCAGTGAGCTTGTTTGTTTTGTTTTTGTTTTTGTTTTTTTTTTTTGTTTTTTTTTTCTTTTTTTTTTTGTTTTTTTGTTTTGTTTTGTTTTGTTTTTTTTTTTGTCTCGTCAACCTGCAGCCCCTGCGCGCGCCCTGTCGGCTGCCCCGCGGACGCCCCGTCGGCTGCCCCGCGGACGCCCCGTCGGCTGCCCCGCGGACGCCCCGTCAGAAGCCCCGTGAACGCTCTGCCCGTCACCCCGCGCACAGCCCTGTCGGCAGCTCCGCGGGCGCCCCCATACCAGCCCCGCGCGCGCCTTTCTTGTCGCTAGTGCCACGGCCAGCAGCGAGCGCAAGTGCAAGCGCCATCGCCAGCGCCAGCACCGGCGCCAGCGCCAGCGCCAGCGCCAACGCTAATGACGGTGCGAGCGCCAGCAGCAGCCAACCCCCCCCCCCCCCCCCCCCCCCCCCCGCCCTCCCTTCCGCGGCTTCCGTCGTGGGAAGGGGGAGGGGGAGAAGTGGGGGTGGCGGGTGTGAGCAGCCGGCAGCCCGTCCCTCCCCTCCCTCTTCCTCTCTCCCTACAGCACTTGTTGCTGTGGGGGGGAAGGGAAGAGGTTAAGGGGGGAGGAGAGGGAGGTTGAGGGGGTAGAGAGAAGGAGAGAGAGAGAGAGAGAGAGAGAGAGAGAGAGAGAGAGAGAGAGAGAGAGAGAGAGAGAGATTAGGCCCCTCGTTTCCGTCGTCTCTAGGCGTGTTCGCCCCTCGTCGCTCTCACCGGGCATCCATTGTGGGGGTTAAAACGTAGGCGGGTATCCTACCGAAGGGCCCAGCTGCTGCACGGTGATTGATGCGCTCCCTACACCAACTAGTCTGCATGCAATCAAAGGGGGGATGTTAGAATATGGTGTATTATTACATAATTGCATGTTTTAGCTAGTGGTGTAGGGTCTTGGTGGTATACCCCATTTGTCCACCTTTCCTATATCTTGTAGCTCTCTCAAATTGCAAACCCCTTCTTTGTTCCCAACTCCATGTCTTCCTAAAACCCAAGTTTCTTTTAAGCCTAGTATCTTGACAGCATATGGTATGGTAATTTTATTAACTGTTGATCTGAGAGGGACACCTCTGAGTGTACCCTTTTTGGATGGAGAGGTTCTGCTCTAGTGTAATGAATATAGCAACTCATTACTGGGTCTGCTTCTAAGGTGTACAGCCTCGGGCACTTCGCGCCAGTTTTCGGTTCGGCCTACACTTCGGCCCGAACCACTGCCGAATCGCTCCGCACTAATCGCGACAAATCCAACCCATGCACATCCCGAGGTCCGCGCCTAGCACGTATTCGCCCTATAAATGCTTGCTTTATTCTGTAATTCATCCTTTTTATAAAGTCTTCTGCGCACTCTGTTTAGTACAACTAATAACATCTAGCGTGTCAAAGAACTCCAAATCGCACCCGGGCTCAGATGTACCGTCACCAGCGTTCTGTCACGGAACGGAACGTCTGTGTTTCTGGGAGGACGAATGTAAGGAAAATCTCTTTTTCCTTACTTCGCGTCCCTGCTCAACGCATACATCACTGTAGCACCACAGTCAGCACCGTTACCACTCGCAATCCTCGCATCGACAATCCGCCCGCCACCTTCGTACGTCGCACCCCGACCTCACGGCTCGGCGGGTAACCCGCGCTCCGGGCCTCCGCTTCGACAATTTTCCCAACCTCAGTCCCAGGCCCGTCGCGCGACAACCACAGTCCATTACCGTTACCACTGTAGTTTCGCTATATATTCTTCGCTCATGCCTTCTCTCATTGTACTCTTGCTTCGATAGTGCAATTCTAGTTCGTTCACTCAATTGCACTCGTAACAACGAACGATGCTTCACAAATCATTACAGTATGACCCAGCTTGCAAGATACAAACCGAGGCGCAACTGCCCACGTTTGCCTCCTGACGCTGAACGGTCAGGATGAACCTGAATTGAATAATTGATTCAGCATCCTGAGCGGAATAGTGTGTCTAAAAATGGTGGGTAGCGGTTTGAGATGGTGAATGTATATCACTCATCCAGACTACACAGCATCGTACTCAACCGAACGAACTTGAAGAACCTCGATTGTCTGACACCCCCTCGAGATTGCCACACTGACGTTCCTGCGGGGAGGTCCTGCTTGGGTTTGCCGTAGTGAAGATTGGGCTACTCCGTAGAAAGCTTCAGTTTCTCGTGCTCTGTCATTCCTAATAGCGGAACCACGCGATTTTACTGACTGAGACCTTTTTAGGAGATGGAGCCCAGCTTATTCAAATATCGCTGCATCAGTCTAGGTTTCCTCCTCTCGGCCGCTGCGCTACCACTAGCGCATGCAGAGTCCAATGCATGGCCGTATATTCTCACATTCAAAATAGTCAAGACGTTTCCGCATGACACGTCAGCCTTCACGGAGGTCCGTATTCGTGTGCCGTTCGCGTCCATGCGCCGTTCGAATCCATGTGACACGTCACCCGTCTTTCTCGTCCTACCGCTGAATTTCCACCTCGTCTTTAACAACTCCTCGTCTTCATTTCCTCTGCCGGCTTATTGTCTGCGTTTGTTATCATTCTCTGCGACTTCCCCTTCCCCGCTGAACAGGGTCTGGTGTACGTGAGTCATAATGCGAGCGGAGGAAGAAGCAGCGGGGAAGGAATCTTCTACGAATCTACTGGGATGCGTGGACAGGTAATCCCGCTTAGAATGGACGCAGTACCAGCGTAACATGAAGCCTCCTGATTCATTATAGCTGTATGATCATTTCTACACACGGACGTCAAGTTGGTCGTCTGTGATTTGAGACGTTTCAGAATGGGTATACCCTATTTCCTGTTCCCTGTTCAGTGGATACAGCCACTGGAATGTTCTCCAGCTAAGCATCCTTCTATTCCTGCCTCTCTCTCGTCCCCACCCTGTTTTCTTCACTCTGTCTCCCCCTCCTTGTGTGCAGTCCAGTGTGAGAGAAGTGGACGTCGCCACAGGGAAGGTATGCTAGTACGACAAAAGAAACCTGATGTATATTTTAGCTTTTGAGAATTCTAAAAAAAAACCTAATGTGTACCATCTTATGCCCATCCAGCGTGTACAGCTGTGTATGAGAAGCTGCTGCCAGTATCCATCTCATCATGACTACTACACATACGAGATGCTTAGAGAAGAATATGTTACGTTTGTATGCTTGCTGCCCCTCACCCACGACTCTTAGACAGGCGTACAAAACCCAACCAGCCACCCACCCATGCACCCACCCATCACCCACCACACACCACGCAGGTTCTCAAGAAGGTGCCTCAGAGCGCTCCGGTGTTCAGTGAAGGGCTTGCACTCATCAACGACAGGTCGGGTGTGAGACGTCCCAACAGCCTCTTACCCTATCCACTTACCCACCCACCCACCATCCACCACCCATCACACTGTCGTTGGAAACAGTTGAAGCTGTATAGTTGCTTGGTGTAGATGGTGACCCACCGTGTGTGTCTAAACAGCTTTTGAGGCGCCTCAATTGAAGCTGTATTATTGCTTGGTGTAGATGGTGACCCACCTAGTGTGTCGAAACAGCTGCTGCTGCCTCGGTCTTTAGCCCGTCCTGTCTCTGACGCCCTCTGTCTTTTGCCTGTGTCTGTTGCTGGATTTCTGTCCCCTCAGGCTGTTTCAGTTAGCGTGGCAGGTGAAAACGGGAACGATATACAACCGCAAAAGTTTGCGAAAGATAGGTGAGAGATAAAAAAATTTCAGGGGCAGGCTAGTTGTGAACGAATCAGTCCCTCCCACCTTATCGGTCTCAACTCAGTGTTTCCGACCCGGTTCAACCATCCTCCCCCCCCCCCGCATCCGTTCATTTCTCATACCCACAAGGAGGTGTGTCACAGACCCCCGCTCACACACCTCCTTCACCCACCACTCTCATGCGGCTCCTTCCAGGCAGCTTCCGCCACCAGATGACGGACGGTTGGGGCCTGTCAACGTACAATAAGTCGCTGCTGGTGGGCTCCGATGGCACCTCCTACATCTACTTCATCAGCGCAACCACCTTCAAGAGTGAGTTTGCAGCAGCACACATAATCGTGCTTTAACACACCTGCAGCGCACTGCCAGTCGCTGCTGGTGGGCTCCAATGGCACTTCCTACATCTACTTCATCAGCGCAACCACATTCAAAAGTGCGTCCATAGGCCTTCTAGAGTAGGTAGGTAGTGGGTTGGGCACCACAAGGGGCTGTTTGAAAGAAGCACCAGACGAGTGACGGGTGGGGCCTATCGACTTACAATTAATCGCTGCTGGTTGGCTCTGATGGCACTTCCTACATCAGCGCTACTACCTTGAAGGCCGAGTTAGTAGCATCACAATCATGTGCATATTCACGCTTCGACGCATCTCAAGCATACAGCCATTCGTTGCTGGTTGGCTCCGATGGCGCATGCATCATACATCTACTTATGGTCAGTGCAACCAGCTTTGAAAATACGTTAATTGCATCACGCTTGTGTGCTAAGTAGCGGTCATTCTTTGTACCCCTTCGAGCGTGTAATTAACTTTTGAGTCGACTCAAAAGTCAACTAAGTAGCGGTCATTCTTTGAACCCCTTCGAGCGTGTAATTAACCGATGCTGGTTGGTCCTGGTTGCGCCTCCTATATCGACTTCATCAGTGCAACTACCTTCAAAAGTGTGTCCATAGACGAGAGTAGGCAGTGGAATTGCAAGCAGCTTGAAGAGTATGCCATGTCACAGCATGGGCTTCCCTTTGTGAGATACATAACATCAACCATTCTCTGCTGCAATGGCGCCTCCTGTATTTACTTTCTCATCGGAAACAACTTGGAGAGCTGGTTCACCACATACAGCAACCATTCTCGACCCCCCTCAACCCCCCACCCATCTCAGCGCTGCACAAGGTGAAGGTGACTGATGGCGGCACACCTATAGCGTGGATCAATGAGCTTGAAGTGCGGGGCGGGCGTATCTATGCCAACGTGTGGCAGGTGCGAGGGGGGAGGGGGAGGAGAGTGGGAGCATGGAGGGTCATGGATGCATGGGGTTGGATGGGAGTGCTGTAAGGGTGAACGCCCATAGCGTGGATCAACGAGCTTGAAGTGCGGGGTGGCCGTATCTATGCCAACGTGTGGCAGGTGCAGGGGAGGGGGGTGAGAGTGGGAGACGGAGGTGAGAGAATATGGATGCATGGGGTTGAATGGGAGTGCTGCAAGTGTGAACTCAACGAGCTGCAAGTGCAGGGCGGACGTTTTTTCCGAGGCAAATCAAAGTAAACAAAGTCCTTCCTTCCCTTCCCCATCCCTTCTGGTCCGTCCCTTTACCCTCAGACGGATTGCATCGCGGTGATCGACCCGCTGTCAGGGCGAGTGGCGGCCTGGATGGACCTGCAGCGCCTGCGGTGAGTGCTGTGCCGGTTGGTGTGTGCAGTGAGCATGTGCGTCATTTGAACTGGGCATGCAGGTCGAGTGTCAAGTGAATGGTGTCAGGGCCAGTGGCGGCCTGGATGGACCTGCAGCGCCTGCGGTGAGTGCTGTGCTGGTTGGTGTGTGCAGTGAGCATGTGCGTCATTTGAACTGGGCATGCAGGTCGAGTGTCAAGTGAATGGTGTCAGGGCCAGTGGCGGCCTGGATGGACCTGCAGCGCCTGCGGTGAGTGCTGTGCTGGTTGGTGTGTGCAGTAAGCATGTGCGTCATTTGAACTGGGCATGCAGGTCTAGTGTCAAGTGAATGGTGTCAGGGCCAGTGGCGGCCTGGATGGACCTGCAGCGCCTGCGGTTAGTGCTGTGCTGGTTGGTGTGTGCAGTGAGCATGTGCGTCATTTGAACTGGGCATGCAGGTCGAGTGTCAAGTGAATGGTGTCAGGGCCAGTGGCGGCCTGGATGGACCTGCAGCGCCTGTGGTGAGTGCTGTGCTGGTTGGTGCATGCTGTGCTGTGAGCGGATGCAATCCGTCTGGTCTGTTCTCTCTGTAACCGACCCGTTTCTTTCTTCTCCCTCTCACGAACCCTCTCCCTCTCACCTATCTCTCTCATTCTCTGTCTTGTCGTGCCTCAGGGCGCTAGCAGCAGCCCAAGTGAAGCCCAACCAGGAGTTTGATGTGCTGAACGGCATTGCATGGGATGCACTACAGAGGCGCCTCTTTGGTACGGGCATTTCATGGTTTGATTACACCATGCAACGACTCTTTGGTTCCACCCCTCATGGCCCTATGCGGTGAATTTTGAGTCGACGCAAAAGTCACCTCACAACAGAGGCGCCTCTTTGGTACGGGCATTGCATGATTTGCTTGCTTGGGTTTGGCTCCACCCCTCATGGCCCTATGCCCCCATGCTTCCCAGTTTCCCCTGAATTCTCAGTCAATCTTTACCACGCCCTGTCTTCCCAGATGCTGGTGATCAGGCTTTTCTCTCTCTCTCTCTCTCTCTTTGAGCATGATTATCAGCACATCTCACCTTATTACCATCATCCCGCTTGTCCATCCCAAGCCTTCCTTTGAGGCACCTCCGAAAGTCATCTTGCTCCACGTTTCCATTATCCACCTGTCCATAAGTATCTCACCCTATCATGAGTATCTCCTGTCCATCCTATGTCGTAACCCTCACCATTTCCTCATTATTCTCTGTGGCATTCCTTTGCAGTCACGGGGAAATACTGGCCTCGGGTGTTCCAGATCGCTCCCAAGACCCTCACAAGATCAACTGCTGATGATGTGGCAGCCATTCGGCTGAGGTGCCACCCACAGGTGTACAGGAGATGAGACGAGACGAGCCATCCGAACGTGCCACCCATCGGTGTGTGGGGGACGATATGCGAGGCAAATAAGCATCTGTTCAATGCAATTGGGAATGATATTTCCCAACCATGTGTTCTTGCTATATACATTCTGTGGAATGTAGATGTTACCCTATCTCTGTCTAAGTTCATGGACGAAACGAAGGGTGGGTGTTCCACGTGCATATGCGATATTCACACACAGTTGATGTTTAAATGCGGCAGTTGTGAACATGCTACCGGTAATTTCCTTTTGGATACGGATGGATATGATAGAAGCACCATCCACCTTTAGCTGCTGGTCCTGTACTCAGGGATAGGTAACATATCCATTTTAAAAGTGGTAATTCCATAAGGTACAAAATATCTTAGTCGTATCATGAGTCAAGTGCAGAGGCATGTATATAGATTATAGAACGAACCTTTTGAATTCGTTGTACGGAAAAGTACAACGAATCCTAGCCATGACACGTCACGCCAGTTCGAATGCGAGGATGAGGAGCGGAATACTTGCCGCTCCCTTGAGAATACCGTAGACCGTAACTTTCAATTTTTTCGCAGACTTCTTCTCAACCAGGTTTCCGTCTAGTAGACGGAACAACATTCCTTGCATAAGAACCTTCAGTATTATTCAGTCAGAGCTCTCGTCCTTGCATACGGACTTTCCGTACATTTTCCTCCATTCTGTCAACGCGTTTCGCGTGCATGAGCTCCCGCTTTCATTAACTGATCCAACGGCCCGATGGGCTCGCTATTATCGAGGCTGCTCGCCAGCCGTCCGATGGCCGACCCCACGATGGTGGTGAAGGATCTCGTTCTGATCGGCGGAGGTCACAGGTGCGCTTTCCTCGAAGCTTCTTGGCGTGGTCCCATATTAATCTTCATTCTGCAAGAGCACGCTAGTAGAGTCCTTTTCCCACCCACTCCTTTATGTCACGCAAGCTCCTTTTGATCCCAGAGCACCCCAGAGCATTTCAGAGCACCCCAGAACACCCCAGAGCAACCCAGAGCAGGGCTTTCCTGGCTCTCCCTCCCGCTCTCCCTCCCGCTCTCCCTCCCGCTCTCCCTCTCGCTCGCCCTCCCGCTCTCCCTCCCGCTCTCCCTCCCGCTCTCCCTCCCGCTCTCCCTCCCGCTCTCCCTCCCGCTCTCCCTCCCGCTCTCCCTCCCGCTCTCCCTCCCGCTCTCCCTCCCGCTCTTTCTTCTAATTGGTGTGAGATTTCCTTCGATCCTCCTTCCTTCGATTTCCTTCCTGGCTCTTCCCCGCTCATCCTCCCCGTCCCTCCTTCCGTCACTCCTTCCTTCCCCCCTTTTCCAACACCCCCCCCCCCCTCAAACCCCCCTCCCTCTCCCCCCCCTCCCCTGAAACCATGCCTGCTGCATGCTGGGTATGTTTTTTGAGAATTCTCAAAAAACATACCTCACACCCCCCCCCTCTCTCCCCCCCCTCCCCTGAAACCATGCCTGCTGCATGCTGGCAGCCACGTGGTGGTGCTCAAGAGCTTCGCCATGAAGCCGATGCCAGGTGTCAGGCTCACATTGGTCACTCGGGACGTGCACACGCCTTACAGCGGCATGCTGCCAGGCCTCGTGGCCGGTAAGAGCATTCACCTCACTTCCTTCCTGACATACACTGAGACGTGCACTCGAATCTGCAGTAGAGGCATCCCGAATCCCAATTGCCCCCTCCCATCCCATCCACTACTCTTGACATGCACTTAGACGTGCACTGCGACGCGCACTGAGACGTGCACTGCGACGTGCACCGCGACGTGCACTGCACTGACCCACCCAGGTCATATCGGCCTGCACTTGACATACTCTCGGCCCAACTCACCAACGCTTGCCTGCTCCACTGCTGCTCCTCGGACCTGAACCTGGGAGGATCACTGCTCTCTCTTCTCTTCCCCCACAGCCTTTCCCATTTCCCTGTCCCTCTCCCGCCTTCCCCCGTCTTCCTCTTCTCCTCTTCCCTCTGCCACCCACCCAGGCCACTACACGTACGACGACTGTCACATCGACCTGCGCCCCTTGGCTCAACTCACCAACGCCCGCCTGCTGCACTGCTGCGCCTCTGGCATTGACCTGGATCAACGTGCTGTGGTGCTGGCGGATGGGCGCCCCCCCATTCGCTACGACGTACTGTCCATTGATATCGGGATCACTCCACTGGTATGCCGTCACGTCATGCACTAGTGTCACCTCTCTGGTAACCGCTGCTGCACTGCTGTGCCTCTGGCCTGGACTTGGAGCAGAGAGCTGCGGTGCTGGCGGATGGGCGTCCTCCTATTCGCTACGACGTGCTTTCCATTGACATCACTGGTATCCTGTCACCTCACGTACGCACTACCAACATCCGCTGCTGCACTGCTGCGCCTCGGGCCTGGACTTGGATCAGCGAGCTGTGGTGCTGGCGGATGGGAATCGCTTTTGAGAATTATCAAAAGCGATTTCCATGTACTTGGATCAGCGTGCGTGCTGTGGTGCTGGCTGGTGGATGGGCGCATGCTTGCCCATTTGTTACGACGACCCGTGTCTTGATACTCCGCCCCACTCCCATCCCCTCCTTCCATCCGTCTGAGCAGCAATCAGTGCCAGGAGCAAAGGAGCTCACCCTCCCAGTGAAGCCCATCGACTCCTTCACCCACCGCTGGGAGGCTCTGCGGTCACGCATCCTCTCCCTCGCCCCTGTGAGTTGTACTGGGGGGGTTGGTCATGCGTGTGGGTGCAAGAGTGCATCCCCCGAGGATCGAATCAAATTAGATCAAGCACCACCACCAGCAGCGCCCTCCCAGTGAAGCCCATAGACTCCTTCACCCACCGCTGGGAGGCCCTGCGGTCACGCATCCTCTCCCTCACCCCCGTGAGGTGGATCAGAAGGACTCCAGCATGAAAATGGTATGTGAGGCTCCTAAGGAATTACCGAAAAACACCGAATTTAAAGCGCCTCACTCTACTTTCGTGGGTGTTTGGTCTAGTGGCATGATTCTCGCTTAGGGTGCGAGAGGTCCCGAGTTCAATTCTCGGAACACCCCGTTGTTTCATTATATATCATTCAGGACCCATGGATATTTTTAGGCACCTCAAAAACCTCCTTTCCCTGGCCCCTGTGAGTTGCTTCAACCAATCTTCCTCCAAGTCGTAAACCTTTTAGATTGAGCTGATAGTTACACCCGGATCTTAATGAGGCCCCAACCACAGTCCACTCATTCGCTCACCGCTGGGAGGCCTTACAGTCACGAATCCTCTCTCGCCCCCCTGTAATTTGCACTGGGAAGGTTAGTGGTGGGTCTAAGGGAGTGTGACTCGATCTAAGCTAGGTCCCCATTTTACGAGGTGACTTTTGAGTCGACTCAAAAGTCACTGGGAAGGTTTGTGGTGGGTCTAAGGAAGTGTGAGTCCCTTAGACTCACCACAAGGGGGTGTGACTCGATCCAAGCTAGGTCCCCAATTCCACCACCACGCAACACTGCCTCTTGACTCACTGCATCTCCATCCACCCCGCATCTCCCCAATTCCACCACCACGCAACACTGCCTCTTGACTTTATAATATAGCGCTCCACACTTGTTACTGGGCCGACGGGCTTCAACGTGCGTTTACTAACGGGATTTAGCCTGGTGGGAGAGGAAGCGACAGGAGGGTTGGAGCTGACTCACTTGCATCCACCGTCCCGCAACCCTCCCAATGCAAGCCAGCCAGCTAGCAACCACTCTTTTCCCTTAAACATCAGGGCTGTAGCGTGCGAGTGATGGTAGTGGGAGGGAGAGCAGGGGGTGTGGAGCTGGCATCATCCACATTCACTGTCCTGCACCCTTCCCAACCCAACCCTACCGTTCACCACTTATTCTCTTACAGGGCTCTAGTGTCCGTGTGGTGGTGGTGGGAGGGGGCGCAGGAGGGGTGGAGCTGCTTCTGGCCATGCAGCACCGACTGCAGCAGGACTGCCTGGTAACCAGATAAGCGGTGGTAACCAGACAGTGGTAACCAGCTGGGGTTAAGAACTTCTGCCATTCCAATCCCTACAGCGTTGCCTTTGCAGCTATGATCTGAAGATTCTGCCTTTGTTGTGTCAGTCTTACAGAAATCAGTTAGTGCCTTCAAGAGCAATTCAGTTTTTTGTTTGTTCTGGTTTTTTATATTTGTGCGTTTTGCAATATTTTGTGTGTGTGTGTGTATGTGTGTGTGTTTGTGTGTGTGTGTGTGTGTGTGTGTGTGTGTGTGTGTGGTTTTTTTTTTTTTTTTTTTTTTTTTGGTAATACAGAAAAGCCAGGTGTATGCCTCTTTTGTGCTTATAACGAGGGGGGATCTGCTGCCCACCCACAACGCACGCGTGCGATTGATTGTCCGACGGATCTTGAAGGAGAGAAGTGAGTGAGGGGGGAGTGGAAGAGGAGTGCGGTAGGAGTGAGGGAGAGGAGTGAGGGAGAGGAGTGAGGGAGAGGGGTGAGCGAGAGGAGTGAGGGAGGTTTACGAGGGAGGGGAGTGAAGGTGCTTGATGCGATGATATCTTATCTCTCAAGAAGAGTGTTACCGTTTGCGGCCCATCAACTGGAAGTAACCGTCAGCTGTCTATCCAGTCACCATCCAGGTGACTTTTGAGTCGACTCAAGAGTCAGCTTTTTTTAGTCACCATCCCTCCATGACAACAGTGTGAAAGCTCATAACCTTTTAGGTATCTAATCCTATTCAATCCACCATCCCTCACCCCACATGCGTGCAACCGTCAATGAATGAACCAGGTATTAAGGTTCTCGATGCTGCAGTGGTGGCAGTGAGACAACGAGGAGTGGAGAGCGGTGGAGAGGGAGGGGATAGAGAGGGAGCGGTGGATGGGGCGGAAGGGGAGGTCGGCAGGGGAAGCAGCAGCGGGGCGGGTGGAGGGGAAAAGAGAGAGTCGGCGGTGCAAGGAGGGGTGCTGGTCTTGGAAGGGGGAGAGGAGGTGGAGTTTGACGAGTGTGTGTGGTGCACACAGGTGGGTGTGCTAGTGTGCGTGAGTGAGCAAGAGGGTAAGAGTGTGAAGAAGGAAGTCTGAGAGTGAAGAGGAAAGGGGAGGAAGGTGTTTACTGTCTCACATCCCAGCCCCATTGAGGCCTAAACTCCCTACGCTTTTGTCTTACACTTGTACCGAGCATCCACTCCTCTTCTCTCGTTGCTCCCACCAATCCCTCCCAGGGCGGTGCAGCCTCCTGGCTCGCCCAAACAGGCCTAGCTCTCGACAGCAACGGCTTCATCCGAGTGGGGGACACACTAGAGTCGATCAGCCATAGAGGGGTGTTCGCCGCAGGGGATATCCACTCGTCAATTGCCCATATCCCCCCACCTCCCGCCTGCCCCATCTCCTGCCAAACCCCCCCCACCTCCTACGTAACACCCCTGCTTCCCAGGGAGGAGCAGCCTCCTGGCTTGGCCAAACGGGTCTAGCCCTGGACAAAAACGGCTTCATCCGAGTGGGGGACACGCTAGAGTCGATCAGCCATAGAAGGGTGTTTGCAGTGGGGGATATCCACTCATCCGACGTTTACCCACGGCCGAAGGCGGGCGTGTTTGCAGTGCGGCAGGGCATGCCCTTGGCGGAAAACTTGAGGAGAGCGCTTCTGGATCAGCCTTTGAAACCCTTCCAACCGCAGAAAACGTTTCTGAGCCTCATCAGGTGTGGTGGTTTGTATGAATGTGTATGTGTGTGTCGACTGAGTGGGGTCAAAGCCAAGACTGGCGTGTTTGGTGACTATTGAGTCGACTCAAAAGTCACCTATGTGTGTGTCGACTGAGTGGGGTCAAAGCCAAGACTGGCGTGTTTGGTGACTTTTGAGTGGACTCAAAAGTCACCTATGTGTGTGTCGACTGAGTGGGGTCAAAGCCAAGACTGGCGTGTTTGGTGACTTTTGAGTCGACTCAAAAGTCACCTATGTGTGTGTCGGTCGACTGAGTGGGGTCAAAGCCAAGACTGGCGTGTTTGCAGTGCGGACGGGAATGCCCCTGACTTTTGAGTCAACTCAAAAGTCAACTCATAAGTCAACTCAAAAGTCAACTCAAAAGTCAACTCGCCTGGCTGAGAATCCGAAGAGAGCGCTTATGGATCAACATTCAAAACCCTTCAAACCTTTTTGAACCTCCTCGGGTGCATTGGTTTACATGTATCTGTGTGCCTATTGACTGGGTTATTCAAGTAACAGGACCGAAGTCAGGCATGTTTGTGGTGGGGGGGGTATGTATTGGATATCCATTTACAGTCAAACTCTCAAGCAGTCAAACTCTCTGTCTCACAACCTTGCCATTCGCTCACATCCCCTCGCTCACATCCCCTCGCTCACATCCCCTCGCTCACATCCCCTCGCTCACATCCCCTCGCTCACATCCCCTCGCTCACATCCCCTCGCTCACATCCCCTCGCTCACATCCCCTCGCTCACATCCCCTCGCTCACATCCCCTCGCTCACATCCCCTCGCTCACATCCCCTCGCTCACATCCCCTCGCTCACATCCCCTCGCTCACATCCCCTCGCTCACATCCCCTCGCTCACATCCCCTCGCTCACATCCCCTCGCTCACATCCCCTCGCTCACATCCCCTCGCTCACATCCCCTCGCTCACATCCCCTCGCTCACAGCACCGGTGATAAATACGCGGTCTTCTCTCGGGGCTCGTTGGCCTTTGAAGACAGTATTATGTGGACGCTCAAGGTGAGAAAGCAGCTGGACCTCCTTCCTTTATACCATTTTACCGCTCAGCACCGCATCGATCGAGCCTTCCTGAGGCAGTTCAGCCAACTGCCCGCCTTCATCCTTTGGCTGAACTGCCGCATCACCCTTTGAGGCACTGAAACACCTGTAATCGACATCTCGCCCCCTTCCCCCCATCCAAACCTTCCAACCGCTCAGGACCGCATAGACCGGGCGTTCATGCAGCAGTTCAACCAACTACCTGCCATGCCGTCACCTCCTCTCCCCACCATCCCCGTCGCACACACGGCCGGGCCTGAAGCGCTCCTGGCACTCAAAAGCATGCCCATGCGCTGTGGGGGGTGTGGCTCCAAGGTGAGAGAGGCGTGTAGGTCGACGTGTAAGTCTCCACCTATCGCCCCCTCTCCCCACCATCCCCGTCGCAAACACGGCCGGGCCTGAAGCGCTCCTGGCACTCAAAAGCATGCCCATGCGCTGTGGGGGGTGTGGCTCCAAGGTGAGAGAGGCGTGTAGGTCGACGTGTAAGTCTCCACCTATCGCCCCCTCTCCCCACCATCCCCGTCGCACACACGGCCGGGCCTGAAGCACTCCTGGCACTCAAAAGCATGCCCATGCGCTGTGGGGGGTGTGGCTCCAAGGTGAGAGAGGCGTGTAGGTCGACGTGTAAGTCCCCACCTATCGCCCTCTCTCCCCACCATCCCTGTCACACACACGGTTGGGCCTGAAGCGCTCCTGGCGCTCAAGAGCATGCCCATGCGCTGTGGGGGGTGTGGCTCCAAGGTGAGAGAGGCGTGTAGGTCGACGTGTAAGTCCCCACCTATCGCCCTCTCTCCCCACCATCCCTGTCACACACACGGTTGGGCCTGAAGCGCTCCTGGCGCTCAAGAGCATGCCCATGCGCTGTGGGGGGTGTGGCTCCAAGGTGAGAGAGGCGTGTAGGTCGACGTGTAAGTCCCCACCTATCGCCCTCTCTCCCCACCATCCCTGTCACACACACGGTTGGGCCTGAAGCGCTCCTGGCGCTCAAGAGCATGCCCATGCGCTGTGGGGGGTGTGGCTCCAAGGCGAGAGAGAGACCTCTGTGCTCCAAGGTGGGATGTGGACTCCCATGTAAGGTGAGGTGTTACATGCGCTTTGGTTCCACGCCTTCTTGATTGAAGAAGGGTTTTGAGCCGTCTCAAAACCCTTCTTCAATCATGTGGACCCCCATGTAAGGTGAGGTGTTACATGCGCTTTGGTTCCACGCCTTCTTTTGAGGTCGTTTTTGAGGCGGTTTTTGAGGCGCCTCAAAAACTCCCATGTAAGGTGAGGTGTTACATGCGCTTTGGTTCCACGCCTTCTTCATGCCACCGCCCCCTCCCCCCACCATCCCCGTCGCACACATGGCTGGGCCGCTGCAATCAAGAGCATGCCCATGCGGTGTGGGGATTGTGGCTCCAAGGCGAGTCATTGCTAGCTGCGATGTGGGCATGCATTCGCAGTGAGACATATTTCCCTACACCGGACAGCGCGCTCTTGCATCTCCTATCATCACCCACCCCTCAATCGCTCTCCCTTGTCTCTCGCCACCCTCCTGAAGACACCACACAGCCATCTTCTGTCTTCACTCATCTCTTCTCTCCCAACCCTCCCCCCCCCACCCCCCCCCCCCCCCCCCCCCCCCCTATCCCACCAGGTTGGCTCTTCCCTTCTCTCCCGCGTCCTCACTCGTCTCGCAGCTCTCCCCAGCCGCCCGCCTGGCCACCCGGAAATCCTCCTGGGGCTTGACTCACCTGATGATGCCGCTGTGCTGGCGATTCCACCTGAGGGAAAGGGCGGCTGTCAGGTATGCATCTGAAAATTCTCCTGGGGCTTGACTCACCTGACGATGCCGCTGTGCTGGCGATTCCACCTGAGGGAAAGGGCGGCTGTCAGGTATGCATCTGAAAATTCTCCTGGGGCTTGACTCACCTGACGACGCCGCTGTGCTGGCAATTCCACCTGACAGCACGGGTGGCAGACAGGTGCGCATGTGGAATTTCTCCTGGCTAATCACCTGATGCTGCCGTGGTGGGTGATTCCACCTGAGAGCAAGGCTGGCTGTCAGGTATGCAAATTCACCTGACGATGCTGCTGTGCTGGCGATAACACCTGACAGCACGGTCGGCGTTAGTCAGGTACGCATCCGGAAATTCTTCAGGGCTGAATTGATGGAATCACCTGGCCTCACACCTGACAATTCGTCTGCATGTGGCTGTCTTCCCATCTCTCTTCTCCCCATCTCCATTCTCCCATCTGCCACCTCTCATTGGCCCCTGCCCTGCCCTCACAGCTGTGTGCCTTTTCCCCTCCACACTCCACTCTCCACCACCCCAATCAGAACCCAGTAGTGGTGCAATCAGTTGACTTCCTCTCCGACCCGCTCCTTCCTCTCCGACCCGCTCCTTCCTCTCCGACCCGCTCCTTCCTCTCCGACCCGCTCCTTCCTCTCCGACCCGCTCCTTCCTCTCCGACCCGCTCCTTCCTCTCCGACCCGCTCCTTCCTCTCCGACCCGCTCCTTCCTCTCCGACCCGCTCCTTCCTCTCCGACCCGCTCCTTCCTCTCCGACCCACACACCTTTGGTCGGATTGCCGCCCTCCATGTTCTCACATGCTTCATGTTTGTTCCCCACCTCCCTTCTCCCCCTGTCTGAGCAACCAGAGCCCAGTGTTGGTGCAAACGGTCGACTTCTTCCACTCCTTCCTCTCCGATCCGCACACCTGTGCCCACATACCTGCCACTGCCGCCCTCCCTGCCACAACAAGCCATATGCTTTCCCTCTGTCTCCCTTCTCCCCCTGTCTGAGCAACCAGAACCCAGTGGTGGTGCAAACGGTCGACTTCTTCCGCTCCTTCCTCTCCGATCCGCACACCTTTGGTCGAATCGCTGCTCTCCACGCTCTCACAAAGTGCATGCTTCCCCTTTTTCTTTCATCTCTCCCTCGCTCTCCCACCAGAGCCCAGTGTTGGTGCAAACGGTCGACTTCTTCCGCTCCTTCCTCTCCGACCCGCACACCTTCGGCCGCATTGCCGCCCTACATGCTCTCAGTGACTGCTTCGCCATGGGTGCTGACCCCGTCTCAGCGCTTGCTATAGTCACACTGCCCTATGGTACCGAGGAGAAGGTGAGACCCCCCGTTACTGTCACATTGCTTGCCGTCCTCCACGCTCTCGGTGACTGCTTCGCCATGGGTGCCTTCCCCCTCGCTCTCCCATTTTCGTCTCTTCCCATCTCCTATGTCTCCCGCTCCCACTCTCATCAGATGGAGGAGGAGATTTTCCAGCTCATGCCAGGGGCCATCTGCGAATCAAAAGCGCCCCTTTTGCTCTCCCTTCTCCCTCCCCCTTCCCTCCACTTCTCCCCCTTCCTTGTCCGACTCATCCATCTCCCCCTTCACTCCCACTCCCCCACTTCTCCTTTCCACTCTCATCAGATGGAGGAGGAGCTTTTCCAGGTCATGGCAGGGGCCATCCGCGAATTGGATGCTGCCACGTGTCAGCTGGTGGGAGGGCACACTGTGGAGGGTGCTGAGCTGTCGCTGGGGTTTGCTGTCACGGGATTGGCTGACAGAGACCGGCTGCTGAGAAAGGTACATGAGTAACTATTGTTAATTTCTGAAACATAATTCTGCCATCATCCTCACCCACTTGTCACACCGCACAGGAGTCACACCGCACTTGTCACAGCAGCATCTCCGTCCCATACCTCCCTCCCTGGACTGTCCTGTGTGCGTTCCTCTCTCACCCCATGCACACACACAGGCGGGCATGTGTGAGCGAGATGCCATCATTCTCACCAAGCCCATCAGCACAGGAGTCACACTTGTCACACCTACATCTCCTTCCCATACCTGTCTCAGGGATGCCTTGTGTGCGCACCTCGTGTCCCATGCAGGCGGGCATGCATGAGGGAGATGCCATCATTCTCACCAAGCCCATCGGCACGGGAGTCATCTTTGCAGCCAACATGCGATGCAAGTCCAAGGTGGGACGGTGGAATGGTGAGCTAAAAGCTCGGGTCATAGGCATAGGGCCTCGGGCTCACAATTAACACTCTTCTCAGCCAAAAACTTACTCAAAGAACAAAACCTTTCATCAAGAAAGTCACAGTTAATAATACATGACTCCAACAGCTCTCTGGCCATCTTTCCACCATATGAGATTCCTCTCATATGAGATGATTTTTTAGGCGCCTCTTTATCCCAGCTCAGAAGTAGTTCCGACAGCTCTCTGGTCAAATTTACCAGCCCCAATAGACCTAGGCCTCCTTTAGCCCAGCTCTTTTCCTTGAATATGGTGGTGGGATTTCCTAATTACCTCTATCCATCTGCCAGTGCCCCCTCTTTGTACTCAAGCGTTACCTCCTGACCTCTATCCGTCTTCCTCTGCCTAACCCCCCCTCCCTTGTGCTATCCTCCCACACCCATCAGGGACGGTGGGTGGATGGGGCGATCGATAGCATGCTGGTGTCTAATCAGGTGAGTCCATGCAAGGGAAGAATCCCCCGATTCATTCAACAATATCAGCAAGTAACACTGCTGAAACAAGTAGGCCTCCCTCGGCATTGTCCTCCCACAACCATCAGGGACGGTGGGTGGATGGGGTGATCCATAGCATGCTGGTGCCTAATCAGGTGAGTCGGGGGAGGAATGTTGCCCCTACTCCTTCAACAATATCCACAAGTAGCACGGCTGAAGCAAGTAGTGGGTGGATGGGGTGATCCATATCATGCTGGTGTCTAATCAGGTGAGTCGGGGGAAGGCGTGATGTGTCAAGTAGTGTGATGCCTCGCAACTGGTGTAGATTCAGGTGACTTAAGGGCTGAAACGTTCCTTCCCTCATTCCTGTTCAAGCTTCGAAACCAGCAGGGGAACAGCCATTCAATTACATGGCAACATGGAACTCTTGCTGCCACCATCATTACTACCCTATTGCCCCCCTCCTCTCCCATTCCCTTCCCTTCCCTTGCAACCCATCATCCCCCCTTCCCTCACCTTCCTTCCCCTCTTCGCCACCAGAAAGCAGCGTCCATTGCATTGCAACATGGGGCCTCGGCTGCTACTGATGTCACGGGATTTGGCTTACTTGGTGAGTTTACCCGGACCAGTACGTTTTGAGAGGTCTTGATACTACGTACCATGCCATGCCATGCAATGCCATGTCTTACCATGCGCATATTGCGATGTGTGTATGTGACATGCCTTGCCTATGCACATACAACAACCCATGGCTTGGCCTGCGTGTGTGTGTGCCATGCTTCTCCAATGCCGTGCGTATGCATCAACAAGTGGAAATGGCCCCGGCATCTCGAGTTACTGTCACCATCGGTCCCTCTACAATCCCCATTTATTCAATTCGGCCCTTCATGCCTTCCTTGTATGCCTTCCCATGCCGTCTACAGGCCACCTGGTGGAAATGACAACAGCATCTCGAGTTACTGTAACAATCGACCCCTCTACAATCCCCATTATGGTAACCACTTGCACACCTCGTAACCAACTGTAGTGATCGTCCATGTTTTGTAATAGAATGCTTTTCAAGAAGGCGTTTTCAGCTCAATGCAGGATTCGAAGGCTTTTTTTCGTTTCCTTCTCTGAGCCCTCCCTTCCTCTCAACAATGGCACTTTGACTGCATGTAAGGCATGCAAGGTTAGCTCACTTCAGTAATTTTATTCTGAGCTTGAAACATCTCCACCTTTTCCTCAACCTCACCCATCCCGTTCTCTCTCTAGGACGGTGCACGGCAGTGTGTGGAGGATGGCATTTTCAGCTCGCTGCAGGATTCGAACCTGCGCCTGAGACGAGCAATCACCAACTACGAGGAGGTGAGGGAGGGGACAGAATGCTAGGATGTGGGGATGAGATGAGATGAATCGACTAGTGAGTTTCGTAAGCCACATACCATAGACCCACCCCCTCCTTCACCCTTGCCCTCCCCAAAACTCCCTCCCTCACCCCACCCTCCTTCCCTCCTCTCTGTTCAGGCATCCGCCCATCTGCTCACTCTGCTCCTCTTCGACCCGCAAACAGCCGGAGGGCTGCTCTTTTCTTTCCATCCCTAAGCCACGGCCACGCATGGCTTTGAATCGTGACATTGCTATCTGCTCAATGCTTGCCATCTATGCAGCACCTCATGAATTTCTCGCTTCTCTCCCCCATCCCCACCATGGTGTCCAGGCATCCGCCCATCCCCGCACTCCTCTCCTCTTCGACCTGCAAACAGCCGAAGGGCTGTTCCTTTCCATCCCCCAAGCCACTGCCACTCACTGCTTGCTGGCTCTGAAACCCCAAATCCTTCGCTCCACTTTCCCCTTCACCCTCCCCACTCTCCCTCCCTCCCCCTCCCTCTACCTTGTCCAGGCATCCACCCATCCGCTCACTCCTCTCCTCTTCGACCCGCAAACAGCCGGAGGGCTGCTCCTTTCCGTCCCCCAATCCACGGCCACTCAGTGCTTGCTAGCTCTGCACAGAGAGGGGTACCCTGCTGCTGCTGTGATTGGTCGGGTAATTTCGTCATCAACAGAAGAGGCAAGTGGGGATGCGTCTGTTACAATAGCCTACAGCCAGTAAAAGACTGCATTAAGTATGGTATGGCCTTTTTGACAAGAAGTGTTCCCAAGTTTTGGGACGTCCCAAACCTACGCCTCTGTTACATTAGACTGCAGCCAGTAAGGATGCATAAAGTATGTACTATTTGACAAGAAGTGGCCTCCAAGCCACGGCTACACAGTGCTTGCTTGCTCTGCACAGCGAGGGGTTCCCTCCCTGCTGCTGTGATTGGTCGAGTGGCAAGCGGATTCTGAAGGAGAGGCAAGCGGATCACACTGTTACGATGCAATGCTGCCCTGTTACAAAAGTAAGCTGTTCCGTGTGTGTGTGATGGTACACAATTCCTCGGGTCCTTATATTATGGTACAGATTATTAGATCAAAGGTTCACCACAACATACGGTAACACAAGCAGCAACCAGTGAGGCATTCGTTATATGGTCCTGGACACTGGCTGAACGCATCTGTTATTAGGATGGAAAGATATGAACACTGTAGTGAGGGGGAGGGTCAGGAAGGCCGAAAGGGAGTAAAGGACCTAACAGCATGCAATGAAAAAAGCAAATCAGGGAGGAAAAGCAGCAGTAGGGGCAGTGGCAGAAGGCATGGCTTTCCAGGGTGCAGCAGCAGCAGCAGGAGGAAGAGGAAGAGAGGGTACATTATGGGCAGCAGCAGTAGCAGCAGCAGCAGCAGTAGAAGCAGGAAAAGGAGGGACAGTGGCAACAGGGCCTTTAAGGGCAGCAGGAGCAGCAGCCGGAAAAGTAAGGACTTGTTTGGAGCTCACAGGCAGTATGGATGCGGCTACTGAGCGAGTGGCTGAGGGGATAGACAATTGCAGACACCAGGGGGTGATGCTCTGGTGTAGACACCTGGTGTCAGGGGAAAAGAGTCACTTCTGAGAATTCTCAGGGGCAGCTGCAGGAAGTGAGGTCGAAGTGAGGACTTGTTTAGAGCCAACAGGCGGTATGAGTGCAGCCACTGAGTGCGTGGCAGAGGTAAGAGACGAGGGGGTAGAGGAAGGGACAGACGAGGGGGTAGAGGAAGGGACAGACGAGGCGATGGATGAGAGAGGAGAGGAAACCACGGCATTCTTTAGAGCGGGGTTGAGAGCGGGAGCGGGATTCCCAGTAGGAGCAGGACGAGCAGGCTGGTTAGGAACGAGGTGCGAGTGGGTGTGGTGAGCATTAGGGTGAGACGCGCCTTTAGAGGCAGGGCGAACGAGCTGCTTTGCTGTGAGGTGCGAGTGAGTGTGGTGAGTGGGGTGAGTGTGGTGAGTGTTAGAGTGAGATGTGCTGGCAGCCTTGGTAGTGGCTGGGCGGCGAGGGGGAATGATGTGCAGCTTCACAGAGTTGCCTCCTCCCCCTCCTCCTGCTGCTGATGCTGTTGCTCTTGGTGCTGCTGTAGCTGTTGCTCTTGGTGCTGCTGCTGCTGTTCCTTGTGGTGCTGCTGCTGTTGCTGTTGCTTTTGGTGCGGCTCCTGCTGTTGTTGTTGCTGCTGTTGCTCTTCCTGCTGCTGCTGTTGTCGCTGTTGTTGCTTTCGTTGCTGCTCCCGTTGCTGCTGCTGTTGCTCTTGGTGCTGCTCCTGTTGTTGTTGCTGCAGCTCCTCTTGGTGCTGTGCCAATTGCTGCTGTTGTTGCTTTTGCTGTTGTTGCTTTCGGTGCTGCTCCCGTTGCGGCTGTAGTTGCTCTTGGTGCTGCTCCTGCCGCTGCCACTCCTGCTTCTGCTCCTGCTGCTCCTGTTGCAACAACATCTGCTGGCAAGGCTAAGCGAGTCGTTGCTTGAATCGCCTTGACACTGCCTGCTGCCCTCGTCCCTCCTGCTGCTGCCCTGCCTGTCGCTGCCATTGCTGCCGTCTCTGCTGCTTCTGGGGCAGCTGCTGCTGCGGCTGCTGCTGACGGTGCTGCTGGTGCTTTAGCTGACACTGCTGCTGCTTGTGCTGAAGTTTGTGCTGCTTGTGCTGCCGTTGCTGGGATTGCTGCCACGGCAGAACCCACTGCTCTTGCTGCTTGCGGCGATCCAAATAGTCCTGCCCACGCTGCCTTAAACGCTGCCTCTGTTGCCACTGCCGACACTGTAACTGCTGCTGCTGACCTTGCTGCAGCTTCTGCCGCTGGTGGTGCTGCTCCCCCTGCTGCTGGTGATGGCGTTGCTTCTGCTGCGTTTGGGATAGCAGGTGGCACATGCCCTCTTGCACTGCCCGCTGCGCTCCCTCTGCTCTAAAGAGGAGACAACGAGGAGATGAAACGAAGACAAAAGGCAGGGAAGAAGGGAGAGAGAACAGGAGGAAAGAAGGAAGGTTTGGGACAGCATGTGGCACATGCCCTCTTGCACTGCCCGCTGCCCTCCCTCTGCTCTAAAGAGGAGACAAAGACGAGGCAAAATGAAGACAAGAAGAGGAGACAGCGAAGCAGGGAGTAACGGAAAAACGAATGGATATAAGGGACAGTGGGGAAATTGACTGCTGTAAAACATGAAGGAAACGGGAGCTGGGATGCTGACACGAATAAGAATCCACGCAAAGAGACGACAACATCTATGCATTCTGTAATGCATCTGCGCTGACTCAAACAGCATCAGAGACGGGAATCACCTTGTAACACTTGACGACGGCAGTTCAGGTGCAACGGGTACACCTGAAGCTCCATCAGCAGAAGTACCTCCACCAGCGGAAGCACCTCCACCAGCAGAAGCAGCAGCAGCAACAGCAGCAGCAGCAGCAGCAGCAGCAGCACCACCACCACCACCACCACCACCATTACCAGCACCACCAGCACCACCACTACCACCACCACTAGCAGCACCACCAGCAGCACCACCAGCATCACCACCACCCTTCTCCTCCACCTCCTCTTCATCTGAATCTGAGAGCAGTTCAATCACCTCTGCTTCCACAGCTTTAGCAGTACCAGCACTCTTAGCACCGGCAGTCTTAGCAGCAGCACCCTTAGCACCAGCACCACTCTTCCCAACAGCAGTCTTTCCCCCCCCCGGAGTAGTACCACCCCTCGTACTCACAACAGCACCCTTTACTGTCACACTGCTACTCACACTACCCCGCTTCTCCCTCTCTACAGTCCCACGTGTGTCCCTCCTACTCTCCACCACACCACCTCTCCCAGAGGATGCTGCTGCTGAATCACTTGAACCCTTTGCTCGTGCTCGTGTGGCAACAACAAACCCTCCAGAAGCTGATGCTTCTCCTCTACCTCCCTCCTCCATCACGCCACCTCTCCCTAATGATGCTGCAGAATCGTTTGAACCACTCCCTCTTGCTCTTAGAGCAACAACCACCCCCCTAGAAGCTGTTGCTCCTCCTTTGCTTCCCTCCTCCACACCTCTAATCACTCTTTGCTGCTGCTGCCCCTGCTGCCCCTGCCCCTGCACCTGCTGCTCCTGCTCCTGCCCCTGCCCCTGCTGCCCCTGCTGCTGCCCCTGCTGCCCCTGCTGCTGCCCCTGCTGCCCCTGCTGCTGCCCCTGCAGTCCCTGCTGAGCCTGTTCCAACTGCAGTCGAATCTGAGCGGCCTCTTCCTTCGTGCAGATGACATGCAAATCGCGGACCACCATAACAGTCTTCTTGCCCTTCCGATGCCCTGAGCTGCTGCCCGAACCACCACTGCCAGCAGAACCACCCATGCTAACACCATCCTTCCCATCCTTCCTTTCAACTGAACCCCCTTCAGCCATCGCAGTGCGGAGCACCATAAAAGTCTTCTTGCCCTTCCGTTGCCCAGAGGCGCTGCCTGAACCACCACTGCCAGCAGAACCGCCCGTGCTTACACCATCCTTCCCTCCCTTCCCCTCTTTCCCGTCCATTTCCTCCCCCCCTCCCTTCCCAACCTTCCCAATCTTCTCATCCTTCTCATCCTTCCCATTCCTCCTCTCCTTCCCCATATCTAGAACCTTTTCAACCTGTTCCTGACTTCCTTCCGCTTCCCCCTCTCCCTTTCCTCCACCTTCCCGTCCTTCTCCTCCCGTATCTCCATCTCTCTTCCTCTTAACTCCACCCACGCTCGTGCCCCTTCCCCTAGCACAGCCCTCCTCTCCCACCTCCCCTCCTCCCACCACACTTTCCACCAGCAGATCACAACCCTCCCCCACTTGCTCCGCCTTCGTCAGCTCCCCTCCTCCCACCACACTCCCCACCAGCAGACCACAACCCTCCCCCACTTGCTCCTCCTTTTTCACCTCCCCTCCTCCCACCACACTCCCCACCACCAGGTCTCGACCCTTCCCCCTTTGCTCCTTCTCTTCCCCAAAACTCTTCTCCTCAAGCCCACGCCCACTGTAATCAGCAGCCGGTTTCTCTTCAATCATTCCATCCATCCCTTCTGCACGCCCATGCGCCTCACATGCCATCCCTGCTGCTGCATGCACGCCCATTGAAATCCCTGCACGCCCACTGTAATCAGCATCCGGTTTCTCTTCAATCATTCCATCCATCCCTTCTGCACGCCCATGCGCCTCACATGCCATCCCTGCTACGGCATCGCCTGCTGGTCTAAAAGCCCCACTAAA